GGATCATTAAAACTACGCAACAAATTGAAAACTCTGAGTATATTCTTACATCATTACTCCCCCAGGGGCCGAGGAGTTCGAGGGAGGGAAAGGCGCAACAATATCGTTTTCAAAAATTGCAGAAAGTAATACTCTCCTCTCCCCTCTGTACTTTCCCCGTTTCCTTGTAACGAGCCCCGCAGGGTCGCAAACAGGGATGCTCAGCGCTAAAAAAACGTCAATCATAATATCGATGCTGGCAACTGCAGACAACATTGAAAAAAGCGATTATAATAATCGTAGTGAAACTTATTTTAGCAACAATTTATACATATATGTACAAAAATGGAAATAACTATAAAATCTTGGCGTTACTTTTGCGAACGTTCTTGATTTCGGTACAAATAGATTTTTGTACTCAACGATACATACCGCACATCCCTATCTTGGGCCGAAAATGATTCCAGGACCCCGAGGGCCTCAAACTTGGGGGACTTGTCTCCTTAGCCTCCCCAACTTAGAGACATTTAGCTTGCTAAATGGATGTGATATTAGGGGCACAATTAATTGTTAAGTACTTATTTCGAGGTTTTCAAGCTACATTTTCCTTTTAACAATTGTGGAAAAGTTTGGTACAAATTGTGGAAAAGGTACCTAATTACTTATAAGAAGCTTGAATAGCTTGGACACTTTTACACAAAATCTTTGCGCTGTATGGGTACCTACCTGTCAAATTTAGCAGTAGTAGGAATGCCTAATAGTAGTAACGATATTGTAGTAGCAGTGGAGTTCCTTATGAAACAGTTCGTCCCGGGAAATTCTGCCACCTTGTCTAATTCTACAGTCAAGAGGTAATGTGAGCACTGTGTTCCGGTTCTGAAGGGTAAGGATGCTGGTGAAATTATAGGCTCATGGGACCTGTCAACTTTTGTCTCAGTCTCAGGGTGATTGGTGCAGTCGTGGTGCCCGATCTTTGCGATTTAAAGCTTTAAGATTGGCACTGCAACTGCGTTCCGTCACCTAGTATCATAAAAAAACTAGGTTGTCACCCAAAAATATATTCGCACTGGGTAAAAATCAACCTTTTCTCTTGAGACTGCGCCAACGCACCAAATGTAATTGCGAAATAATTATGTTTGTTTGATTTCTTGCAGTATGGTTATTACTAAAGTTTTAGATGTGAAATTAATGTATAAGATACTTTAGGATGTACTCTATAAATCATACTCTTTAGAAATACGATTACTTATAGTTTGGTCGATAGAAAAAAGAACTGAAGTTACCTATAAAAAACAAAATATACCCTTGGTACTGCGGAAATACGTTACGGAAGGTCATCAGTTTTTGAATACTAACAAAGCTATATCATTTCTATAACGTATACTCCGTACATTTTCAAAAGGTGTATTTGTTTTAGCAATACGAAGGAAATACCTGAAATCGCACGCGGTCAGCCCTTACTAGCTTCCCCCCTGTCCGCTTTAGTTCTGCTTCGGCCGTCGGATGTGGAGGTTGTGTCGCTTGGGCTGACACACGGCTTTAAAACATATGCCACACGTACACACATACGCGGAGCGCATAGAATACCTGAAATCAATTAGCGCCAGACGCTCGGTGCTCTCTTAATAACCTGTATGTGATTGGAATTGTATTACGACGGCTTTCAAAATAATCGTTCTGACTGAAACAAGCCCTCCTCATCTTCCTAATTTATGCTAATATAGGGGCTTATTCTAACCCACTTTTCAATTTTTTTCAATTTTTTAAGCCTATCTCAGCTTCCCCTAAGTAGTCTAAGGAGCCTCCCCGCACGACGTCCCATTCCTTTCCTGTACGTCTGGCGCACCCTAGGCAACAATCAGCGAATACATTATTTCCTTAAATCCTTTCACTACGATGGCAAGCATTATTTATTTATTTTATTTTTGAGTGTACAAACAGCTTGTATCACGATGCAATAGAAACTATATTAAGTAATTATAAACAAAAACAGTTGCCTACTGAAAACCAACAATTAAATAACTAAATGACATTGTACACACACACATGACACATTATGGAAGCAATGTAACATTACGGAAATTAGCTCGCTTTAGTAATAAAAAAAGAATTAGATAATACTTTCTTAACGTACGCACAATCATAAAGATAAATCGTAAAGAGCAGAAACTTTGTTAAAATTATTGCTCGCACGCCATATAAATGAATTCCGTTTGTAATTTTGTAAAACGACAGGTAAAGGTAGATTCCATATGGAACAGGTGAAGGTGAAACTGGGATTCAGACTCACTGCCTAGTCATTACTTTCACTTTTTCTTCAGTTCAAAATGTTTCGATTTAAGTCTTCAGTGTAAGATCCATCAGTTTAAGTCTTCAGTATTTCAGGAAGACCCGTTAAAGTCTTTAGTTTAAAATACAAAATTATCCAGGATACGAACAATCTCTATTTAAAATAAACACAAACAAGTATTAAACGATCTTTGCAAAACAATAGAAACTTTTAGGCCGACCAAGAGAAATTCAGTCTCATACAAAGCAATCTAATATACAGTTTATATGACGCAAACAACAACGTAGTTGCAAAACGAGTAGGAGTTTTGTTAAATGTAACATTCCTGTTTATTTAAGTCTTTAATGAGTTAAAGAACAATGTGTATAATTAGTGACCACATTGATTGCGTAAATGCTATTATCTAAGCTGCGACATTAACAAATAAGTACATAAAATTACTGTGCATATTATATAGGCACTAATTGAGCCTTATTGTCTACCGATTGGTTATAATACTTATAATTTAGTTATAAGTATACTGAGACTGTCCATAGCCAAGTTGTTTTCATAATGAGACAATACAGTAATTACGGGCAATGATTGCGCAAAGAAAATTGTTGATTAATGTCGAACAAAACAACCTTTTAATTATTCTTTGCAATGACAGAGCTTGCGGTGTGAGACGCCTGTCTGTGAGATGTTTTTTTTTTAATTTTAATGATTGTTTCTTTTGTCATCAATAGTTGTAATACTGTAATGTTCGACCATGTTTCTGGATTGCATCGTAAAGTATGAACTTTGCAACAATAGAGTCCCAGAAAGCAAAATTGATCTCAGACTAGCAAATTTCTTGTACTTAGGTAATTAAATGCCTCCGTGGCCGAACGGTTACCATTGACTGCCACGCAGAGGTCCCAGGTTCGATTCCTGGGCCGGGAGAAATATTTGTATGGCCTGCATTTATTTCTTTCGTGAGTTTGGGTGTAACTTTGTGGTTCTCCCGTCACTTCGTATTATGTATAAAAAAATTACAACTGAGAGCACTCGAATTAGAATCAATTTAGGAAAGTGCGTTTCCTAAATTGATGGTATCGGAAATTGAACTTTTTCATCACGCACCTGGTGTCCTAACCGTTGGGCCATTTAAACCAAAATAAAACAAGCGGGTATTTAGAAATACACAGTTACTAAAGTTCAATTTTCTGTCTCTTCAAGCTCTACAACCTGAGCTCTTGATTGACCAAAACGAAAAAATCGTGAATCGTCCACGATCATAATATCCTGTTAGAGCAATCTGAAACTTCGCGGTATGGGCTTGGTTTTATGCGCATTGTCCACGCTCAATGGTACTTGGTCTTGGTCCATTTTTGTTCACACCTGCGCCTGCGCCAGCGGGAACCAGAACCTGTAATGTGATACGGGGCGAAACTCGCCTCTTAATTTTCGAAAACTAACGTGGCTTTTTAGGTGTTTTTGTTTATAATATTATTTTAAGTAATCTCAAGCTTAAATTTGTTAATTCGTTGCATGAATCTTAGTATATCGAAGCTATAACGAATTTCTGTCATTTGGTTATACAAGATATGTCGTAGAACAACAGTTGACTAAGCAAGTAAAGTAACAGCTTCAGCGTCTCAAAACACCGAGGATATCTGCCTTGGTATTATAAAAAAAGTAATAGATACTCGAGTGCATTCATACTCGAAGTAGTAAACACCTAAAGAAACCCATGGACCTAAGTCAAGAGGACTGCTAATCTCCATACTTACAGATCGTAACATAAAAAGGTTATGTCTAGATGGCATTAATCAATAATCTGGAAATAGTTTATATTACATATGTAAATGGCCGTGGATTTCAATTATTTCCTCTTTAATATGAAATATAAGGTGTCAGTTTTTATCCCTGTACCATGAGCTAAAATTATTTTCTGAACTTTGACAAATATGCGTGTCAATAGAGGGCACTGTGTGTTACAAACTAATTTGTGAGTTAATGCTTTCTAAGATGGAGCTTATCCTAAACAAAATAAAAGAGGCACTATCCAAAAAATTGCAAAATAAACGCCATCTAGTTGATCTAGTTGATTGCTTTGTTATCATCAGAAATTAGAGTAGCTTTGTTAAATTATTATATTTATATATATTATATTTTTTTAATAATCTCAAATGACGGGACGAACAAGTCGAGCGCCTGGTGGTAAGCTACACGCCTGTCCATAACTATTGCAGTGTCCTCAGAGCTTTAAATCGCAAAGATCTGAGGGGCACTGCCACTGCGCCCGTCACCCTGAGACATAAGTTGACATGTCCCATGTGCCTGTAATGTCACCAGCACCCTTACTCTTCAAAACCGGAACACAGTAATGCTGACATTACTGCGTGGCGGCAGAAATAGTTAAGATGGCAGTACTTCCTTGGACGAACTCTTTCAAAAGGACCTCTACTGCTAGTAAAAAGCTATTTAGTACTCGTTGCGACATCTGGTGTACCAATATGTACTAAATACCCGACAATGCAGTCTTATATCGCGATTGTAGAGGACTACAATCATGTCACTCACTTCCTAGTGAGTTATTGATCCATGGTGGAAACATAGGTATCGAGTTCACCAAAGTGTTGGCATTAAACTTAATTATGTATTAACTGATAATTGTGTTACTTCACAACAATTCTTTAAATATATGGCAATTAATTGTTTATTATTTGTAATTTTTATAATTGTTTTACTTTTGTTTCATGTATTGTAGCGGTACGACAATTTTATTCAGGTAATTTGCTTTTATTTACTATTTATTAAGTATATTATTTTATTTGTTATTCGTAGTAATCAAAACGGCAAACAATTAGTCACTCCACTTGACAGATAGTGGTAATTACTATTATAGTACATTTTCTTTTCTAAAACGTCACCGGCCGTAGAGTAAGTAGGTTTTGGTCTTTCCTGCCTGATATTACGCTAGATACCTCTACCTTTTAGTCATCAGGGCTTATTTGCGGTTGAAACAGGGTTATGGTACTTACTCAGACTTTACCACAGACCAATATAAGTTGACTACCTCGGGTAGTTCCGCCGCCGCTGCCACTTGCAGCTTACCAGGAGAAAATCTTAGACGGTCGTACAGATATTACTTATATCTCTAAATGACAGTAGCAAAGGTATAGCGAGCAGCATCTGGAGAATGGCTATGGAGTGGAATTCCCTGCTTGCAGACTTATTTCCTGATTGCTATACTTGGGCCTTTTCAAGGCGTGAGTGAATAGGCATTATTTAGTTGTACATCGTCAACCTCATAGTTACTTTCCATCACGTGCCAGGGAGGTTAAATGTGTTCTTTTTATATAGAAAAGAAAACAGTAAAATTAGTTTTAGTTTTTTGATGATTTCAGTGGCCCAATGGTTTGCACTGTGGGTACTAGTAGGAACGTCACGAGTTCGATTCCTCGTGGGACCAATTTGGGTATATGAACTATTCTAACTTGGTTCTGGTCTGGATGTTCAGGGTACCACGTAGTTAATTTCGTTGTTTTGGTACCCAGCAAGTTCGTATGTAGTTTCAGAAATTTGTTTACTCAAATTTTTTTATTGCACACGCAAATATAGTATACAAAGAATTTTAATACGTTGTGTATTAATAAAAATAATTAATATAAAAAGGTACTTAACTTGTGTAAGTATAGTTCAGAATACGGTGCGTTGTATTAATATTTTAATAATATTAATAACGCACACACTCAACTTACCCCCGCACTATGGAAACCCTGGGTCGCGGGTGCCATGGATACACGCATAGACAACCACAATATTACACCCAAACTCACGAGAGGCCAATGTAGGCCATACAAATATTTTTCCCGGCCCGGGAATCGAACGTGAGACCTCTGCGTGGCAATGCGTCGTGGTATCCGCTTGGCCACGGAGGCAGTTTGATTGAATATTAGATCATTCATATTAGGTCATTGATGACCTGTGAAGGACCCGAAACAAAAAAACATTAAGCGTAACAATCGCCAAAAGATAAGAACTCAATACGTTGCATATTTTTGTTGCTGTTGTACGACCGCGTGACAATACAGGTACGATGCGACGGCGTGACGGGGGCGAGATTGCAAATCAAATATCTTGCAGGGAATTGGCCGTGCGCGGGATTGCCAATTGAGATCATTTCCACGCTAATTGCCCACAGGGGCATTCACCGCCAGGTGCAACTAATTCCTATTTCGTTAAAAAAAAAATTGTACAGGACTCCGAAAGATATAAAATAAAATAGGACTTCATAGCTCTATCACCTGAATATATAGATTCTAAACTTAGTTTAAGATGCCGAGAAGGCTTACACTATACAGGATAACTTAGACCATACTCATTTCAAACTCATGCCCATGAATTTGTGATGGATGTACTACTTAACCATTGGGAGAAATTTATAGATTGTAAACCAATCACTTCTTAACAAACTTTTTGAGGCAACAGTAGGTACATATCAGCCATCAATAGCTACGATTCACGCAAATTACCAAAATAACGAATCCTAAAAATCACGTTTCGCAAATTGAATCACGTTTCGAGATTTGCTCTCGAATTAACGTTATGCGAATTGGCCGGGAGCGTCACCGCGTCATGTCGTGATGCGACAAATCTAATGCCGCGTCTTTCGCGTCACGCGTCACGTCACGCGACGAAAGTGGCTCGCGACGATTGCCAATTTGCGAGCTCGCTCGGCAGATTGGCTCAATATATGAAATAAACTTGATTTCATATATTCGTCCCTTTGTGAGCGTTATCTCGTATTTTTATATCGCCACTTTTGCAATTTTGCGCTCCGCCGTTTTCAACGAGCGCTGAATTGGGATAATGCCGATATCTATACACCTATTACATGTAACTTATACCTACGTGTGAATCCATACTTTAACTATCGTATTTTGTGTTTGTTATTTGAAAACTGCAGACTATTGTTATTATTATTCATACAAAAATCGAATAACACAAAGAAAAATTCCTTCGATTACACCTACACTCGACGAAATCCGTAGTTACGGAAGTTTTCCCACTATGGTTGACCTACGAACATCGAGTATATAACCAGAAATAGAGACGAAATGTCATTTAATTTGTTTTAAAACTATTCTGCCAAATCATTACCGTGACAACTGCGGTCTGATTGGCCAGCCCGAATTCGAAACAATTGGCGGGTGTCGTCAATTGTTTCACTTCAATACGACCAGTTTAACTTGAGCTTTGCGATGATAAACGAAAATTGCAAAATTACATATTTTATATATAATTACCGATGAAATGTGATTCCGTTAGCTTTGTAAATTCCCACACCACCAAATGGAACAGCCCTCATTGTTAAAGATATTATCTTTATTACTACAAATACAGAATATTTTTGGAATGTACGGAGACGTACACACAGGTCAGTTGTTGGCGCTGTACTTTCTAATATAAGATTTAATCGCAAACGAGAATTGATGTTTAAAAGTGATATAAGGCCCATTTACCTAATGAGTTACCAGGGATGGAGTGCCCTTATTTCGTCTCTGTATCTGGTTACATATACTCGGTGCTTTCTGAACACGAAAAGACGGGCCTGTTTGACAGTTCCGAACTGTCATATCGGGTTGTAACTTCCTTTGTTCTAGCCGCGATCGAAACTTAAGTCTGTAGGTCATCCAAACGGCAGTAACCACAGATTTCGTGCTTAGAGAATAGGGCCCCTGATTAAATACGAACTCGACCGAACTCCGGCATGGCACACAGCCACTGGATCGAGTCCAGTCAGATTGGAGGAATTTTTCTTCGTGTTGTTCGTATCTTTGTATTAATTATAATTACCTACAAACTAGAAATACTCCAGTATTTTCACAACGAATATTATGGTAATGAAACATCATTACTACAGACGTTGTTTTAAAAGAATAAAGTGATTTTTGTACTTTACAATTTCACCGTACAAACAATACGCACAAAACTTATTAATATGTCAACAAGGGGTTAACAAAATAACAGCACATCGCGTCGAGCGCGAACACAGGATCGACGTGTGACGAATCGCGACCGGACAATCGCGTTGGTCACGCTACGGTGCGCGTTTTGCGATTGTTGTTGCAGCTGGACACATGTTAATGGTCTGATAAAGTACTCATTGGTATTTGGCGCTTTTATTAAAAAAGATCTATGCAATAACTCAATGCGCTCGGTACTTCGTGAAGTTACTCGCATAGGAAATGTTTTGAAAATCCACAATAGCTTTTAGTTACAGTTGCACCTTTATGTTTATGTCTCGAATTGGGAGTTATTACTAGCTAGATATATCATGGGTTTGGGAACTAATTAATCAAAGATGTTTAACTGTTTTTCTTATACATCGGGACATACCTATATATATATATTTATTATAATACTAAGTGACGGGACGAACAAGTCATCAGCCTGGTGTTAAACGACACGTCTGTCCATGGCAGTAGCAGTACCACTCAGAGCTTTAAATCGCAAATATCTAAGGGACACTTCCACTGCGCCTGTCACCCTGAGACATAAGTTCACAAGTTCCATGTGTCTGTAATTTCACCAGCAACCTTACCCTTCAAAACCGGAATGCAGTAACCCTCAAATTACTGCTAGGTGGCAGAAATAGGTAAGGTGTTAATGGCATTACTTTCCCTGGACGAACTCTTTCACAACTCTACTGCTACTAAACCTTATTGTTATCAACCCTTTTATTGGTCAAATTTGAGTTTAAAGAGGTATTTACAAAAAGGAAATTAAACTGGCAGAATTTTTGGCTAGGAGTATTTTCAGTTTACCGTCTTGATATAAAATATATTTTCATCATAAACTTGTCATCATAATTAATTAAATCATCAAACTACATACTAAACAGTAACCCAAACCCCTGCTAACAAACCGACGCTTATCATACCGCGTTGACTGACCTCATAACTTAGTGATTTACAACACAATTACACATCGATTCGATACAATATATACATAGACCACCCCTCACTCTACCAATACCCATTAATACATTAGCCATTATACCTTCTTTTTTCAAATAACATGACGTTATTGTTAGTTTGCTACTAAGCACTTTTGCTTAGTATCAAACTAACAATAACGTCGTGTTATTTGAAAAAAAGAAGGTAGGTATAATGGCTAAACACGTAAGAAATCGATCATCTTATAAAATGGAAACTTAAAGTCGTCCAAAAATATTTTCTAAACAATTTGCACTCTATCCAATAGTTGCGGTTCAAAAGAAAATGTTTTACACGTTGTAGTACAGCCAGAGATGTATCAGAAAGTGATCGATTGAAACGTGGCCTACGTGGTAGACATAAGGGAGCGCTCCGAATTTAATAATTCATTGTCGTATTCATTGGCGCAAATTCAATTACCCGCTGTCCCGGGGGGTTCAGGCCCACGCCCCGCGCATCGCACCCCGCACCTCTTACGCCCCTTTGGACCAGGGTTGGTACAAGACCTAACTTTATTGAATATTGATGCCCTGAATTAAATATACATCAGTGGAGACCCGTGCCCGGAAGCGAGACGTCATGGATGGATGGAATGGAGATTTATTAGGAGATCAATATCAAACGCGATACTGGTTATAAATGTCATCAATCGTTAAAGAAAATAGTATTTTTGAATACCAAATATTAATTTAATGTACTTGAACAACAATAGTGTTGCCTTGAGCGCAGTTCATTTATAATTTATCCGTAGATCTACTACATAACATAAAAAAACATCTTTTATTTAAAAATAGTGCATATTTCCAATAGATCAATTATTTATTTGAGGATCAAGTAATATTATCCCAATGAACATTTGTACACATATATAATTTCATCTACACAACCTGCAAGAGCTAAATGGATGCATTTATTAATGAAGCTGTATAAACATTTTTGTTTCACTATAATTTTAAACCTCGTAATTGGCAAACTTTTTATATCAACCGCAATCTCAGTGTATAGAAGCGCATTCATCGCCCCTTATAAATGAATATGTGACTTTGTGAAAACGATTGTCACTAGCAGTTTATTTTTGTTTCTCGTATTAATGTTCTATCTATCACTATTTTTCATAAAACTAAATTGTCAACTCGTAAAGCACATTAGAGCGTACCAAATACCAAAAGCGTAACAACGGTATAGAAAACACTACTTGAGCGTCATCTAAGGGTCGTATTCTAGAACTCTACTCAATACTCAAGTCAGGATGCACTGGAAACATAAGCACTGGAAATACGACCCTAATGGCAGGGAGTTGAGTATGATTTCGAGTGCTTTAAACCGTACTCAAATCCTGACTTGAGCATTGAGTAGAGTTCTAGAATACGACCTTAAGTTAACGTTCGAATAATGGAAAGAATTCACACGACCAGAGGATGCTATACGCCACCTGCATCTGCATTTATTTCCGATCACATATACAACCTTGACATTTTCAAGAGTAGGATAATAAGGTTTCGATTGAGCAAGCTCTAGACATCTTCAATTTAATCTTTACAATATTGATTATATATCAAACAAACACAAAGAAAAAATCCTTCGATTAAGTTCTGGTGCCGTTTAATACATAATAAATACATACAGCAATTTTTAAGATCTGCTGGCTCGACCCGTAGATTAATAGGCAGAATGGTAGCCACATTGAGGCAACAGTCGCTGATTCGAATCCGGTCGGTTCGCAGGAATTTTTAATCAACAATAATAACAAACTAGTGGAGTATTTTCACACAAAATAGATAAATATCATGATAGTAAAAACAACTGGTAATTCAATAGAACATAAAAATATTGCAATATTTGTTGTGGTTTAGTGGTTAAGATTGAACATATATTTCATTCGCCATCATTATCATGAACCCATTGTTGGTCCCGCTTCAGGTCACGACTATCATCTAAGAAGAGGATTAGGCCGTAGTCCTTCACACTGGCCTAATACAGGTTGTGGACTTCACACGTTTTCCAAGGGTCTTCTTTCACGAGCAGGTTCTAACACGAAATTCATCCGAACAGTAAAACAACAAAAACTTACACACCAATATACTTATACAAAACAAATTACAAATATTCCCTATGTAGACATGAAATATGGTCCATGTTCAAGAAATGATAATTACATGAATTGTCATTCGCGGTAGTGACTTCCTAAGTATTGTCATACTTAGGAAGTCACTACCGCGAACACGTGCTCTGACAGCAAACTCTTCCTAATTGTGCATCAGCAAACATTCCCGAGACGCGCGAACATTCTAGAATCATGGCAGCCGCAACAGCATTGTGAATGTATTATTGAATACAACTCTTGGCTAACTCAGAGCTTTCTGGGTGTAGTTGACCCACGGGTTAACTACACCCAGAGAGAGTTTACACCTGTAGCCCACGGGCTACAGGTGTAAACAATCTAGTTGTAAACTTTAAGTTGCGATACCTTTACTTTGTGAGGGCCCATATAATGTTACTCCGCCCTGCCAGCGCCCGAAAACTGAATTTACATCGCTAAATTTACAGAGCGAATTTTTGTTACGAAATTTCACATAGCTTAATAAACTTTACATCAATTGTATAACGTACAAAATACGTTTCGATAGCTTCGGGAATTCCCGAGACTGCACGAGAAAATTGTCCTTAACGTTACGACGCTTAGACAGGAGGGGTATGATATTTTCGCCAATTACTTTTAAAAGAGTCCGAAAAGTTTCTAAAATCTTTACACCAATGGTGCGAATTTCTTAGCTTAGACCAAGATGTGCCTAAATGTCGAAAGAGGAATTGATATTGGCACATGACTACTACAGTTATATTTATTTAGTAGGCAGTATAGCTCCTTGTGAAAGAGTTCGTCCAGAGAAGTATTACCACCTTACCAATTTCTGCCGCTAAGGCGTTCCGGTTTTTTTCGGTTACTGTGAAATTACAGGCAAATGGGACTTTTAACTTATGTCTCAGTGTGATGGGCGCAATGGAGTGCTTCTCATAACTTTACAATTTACAGCTCTGACCGGCACTGCAACTGTTTGTTGGCAGTCGTGTCGCTTACCACCAGGGGCACGACTTGTTCGTAACGTCACTTGGTACCATAAACAAAAACACAGAATTATTTTTTATAGAAGCAAACTAATGGACATAAGAATCATTTTTAACCGACTTTAAAAAAAGGAGGAGGTTCTCAATTCGACTGTATGTTTTCTTTTTTTTTTGTATGTGTGTTACGCGATAACTCCGGTATTTGTGAACCGATTTTCATGATTCTCTTTTTGTTGGAAAGAGGGTCCTTAGTGGTCCCATTTAATTTTGAAGAAAATCATCCACCTCTAAGGATGGCTGTTCACGCGTGAAGATTCATTTTTATAACTAGCGCCTAAATTTTATTATAAGGAGCAATTATTTGAATGATTGATTTTGCTATTCTCCAATTCAAGACGTTTTTCTCTCAATATACTTTGAGTAGTGAGCACCGATTTTTATTATCTCCAGTTTCAAGTCCCATATAGTGGCGAACTAGGGGATGAATCCGGGTTTTCTTCACTTTCCGGTAACCGATTTCAATAAAATTTGGTAATTAAATGTAAATCCACGTATTTTAGAGATCGGTTTTTTAGTACTCTGTACTGAGATTATTAGATGTGCGTTCATTTGTCGCAGGTGTATCTCCTCTGGAGGCGGCGAAAGATTTCACCGTTGACGGACTTACCGGCTACAACGGCAAGAAGAAGAAGAAAAAACGAAGGCATAGGTAAAAACCCTCAACATATTTCCAAGTTGTTTTGTTTACTCACAAGTATATACAAAACATACGAGCTATTTCAAAACCTGTTCTTTAGAATCCGTATAATAAGCGGGCGCTTCAAATTAGACGCTTATAGAAGCTCTACAGTGGCGCCACTGTGGCGCTGCAGCCGCGCCACTACCAAATTTTCATACAATATTTGGAAACGCAGCGGCAGTCCATAGTCGCACCAAGCGCGCGCCTCTTTTGCAAACTAGATGTTGTAAGAAAATTAGTAGAGGCAACTGCCGCGCCACAGATTCACTACTACAACGCTTCTATAAGCGTCTAATTCGAAGGCACCCTAAAACTTAAATTAGTAAGTAGGTATGTTGGTATATTGGTATATTGGTACCCATAAGATGGACCAATGAACTGGCGAAAGTTGCCGGAATCCGGTAGATGCAAGCAGCACAAGACAGGTCGTTGTGGCCTACGCCATGTCTTTTGGATGAAATGTTCATGATATTGGCATATTTGTGAATTAACAAAAATTTGTACTGGCAAAAGACGCTACTGTTATATGAGCTAAAATCGAAACGCTACACAAATCCATGACAAAACATTTTCAAATTGACTGTGTAGATTTAAAAAAATAAAATATCAGATCTAAAGACTAGATTTAAAGAGAACTGCGAACATGAGTTTTAGAACAACTTGGTCGACGATTTCTTCAAATATAAGGCTTGATTGAACCTAAATCGATGCATACCTACATTAATATTTATAGTATGTCTTATTTGAATTCAATCAATTCCTTCATATATTGTTTATTTGCATACTCTTCTTTAAGGCTAAATAGGATTGACTGCACCAATTTAATTTTACCACCAACTTTTATCTATACTATATTCACTCTAATTAAAGCAAATTAATGCTATTTTATTTATTTTAAAACTTTGGCAATAATTAAACCTAATGGATTTTCTGTAGGTGCATGTTTCGTGTCATAAAAGAAGACATAAAAAATAAATTTAATGTTTCTTTATTTAGATATAAACCCATTTATAAATCCAACTTTTCAAAGAATTAAATTAAATTGAATTTTAAGGGAGAATGAAGAATTAATTTATACTTATATTTTAAATGCTAAGTTTTCGCTTAAAAAAAGCATGTATAGTGCTTAAACTATCCTCACAGTAATATTGACCGATTCACGTACTCTCGTAGACGTTTCTCTTATTCTCCGTGGTTACGTTTTTTCAAGTGTTTGTGCCGAACAGATTCTTTAAACGACTTCAAAAAAAGAAGAAAGTTTATGATTCGACTGTATTTTTTGTACGTGTACGTTACGCGATTACTTCGTTTTTTTGTGAACCGATTTTGTTCGAAAGGGAGTATCTTGGTAGTGGTCCCATTCAGTTTTCAAGAAAATATTCCGCCTCTAAGGTTGGCAAATTAGGGATGGATCCGGTTTATTGAATTTCATCCAGTTTCCGTTAACCGATTTTAATAAAATTTGGTAAATAGCTGTAATTCCACAAACCTTGAGGTCGGTTTTTTTTAATAAAAATGTGATCTATTCTGTACTCTTTTTTATTAGCTGGAACTTACACTTATGATACACGTATTCTCCCCGCAGCCGCACGATCTTTACGTCGTACCAGCTAGACGAGTTGGAGAAGGCATTCAAGGACGCGCACTACCCTGATGTGTACGCTAGGGAGATGCTCTCACTCAAGACAGACCTGCCCGAGGACCGCATCCAGGTAAGTGACATACAAATCTCGATAAAACATTCACAATAATAATACAATCAACACATTGAGTCTACTCGTATGATGATTGAACGTTGTCGTAGATAGACGTTGTAAGAAACGTAGATTAAAACATTATAATTTAGAGTAGAATATACATTTATTGCAACGCCACAACACATACATAGATACAGAAAAAAAATAATTGCAAACACTTAGACAAACAATACAAAATAAAAAGAATTAATAAACAAAATAAAAAAATACAAAACCAATATAAAATAAGACAAAATAAACCAAAAGCAAAAAAAAATATAACAACTACAAAGTATACTGTCATTTGTGCGGTTGTGGCTTGCGCACAAGGTCTTCGTTTAGCTTATGTCTGAACCATAATTACGAGTAACTGTGGCGCTGGTTTCCAACGAGCCCTGAGCCGAGATGAGTGACAGACGTATGTGTCGCAATTTCATTTATTTAAATGACTAAAATGAAAACATGTTACTTAATATCGCACCCTTGGTGTAATAAGGTCACAACTGCAAAATGACATCTTTTCAGGACAAAGGATTAAAGATTCCACGAACGAATTAGTCGATAACTTTTTATGCTTAAATATTAGAATTATAAAATTTTAAATATACTTACGTAATTTATTTCATGTACTTCCTATCAGAGTTCTTGCGAATATCTGCAGTATCTGCATTCGCGGATAATCCGCAAAAAGCATCCGCATTGATCGATGCTGATATTTATTGCTGATAATCGCATCGTGACTAAAGGAGCAGGGATGACGGCTCGCTGGAATAATTTACAAACCATCCAGAAACTAACTGTAAGCCGAAAAAGCGCTCTGACATCGTTCTTACCTTTGATAAAATGCCTATGTGATTTTTTGTTAAAATATGTCATTATATGTCATTTTTAAATATATAAAATCAGCATCCACATCAGCATCTGCTGACGTTAGAGTAAAAAATCAGCATCGCATACGCGTCCGCTGATGTGATTAAAACTTGCATCAGCAAGGGCTCCTATTTTTTTTATGACTTTCACGTAATAAAAACACTTCTGTTGTATTATGATCACATGTGGCTTTATTAAACCACGGGTACGATATTTATATTTCGTGTAAGATTTTGTAACGGATGATAGGTATCTACACCACGACGTTTGGAAACATCAAATACAGACTAACTCCGCACCATCACGCCAGATGTTTCTTCCAAAACAGGACCAGCCGTCGCCGACATGGTGCGGACGTCGTACGGACGCGATCGATAATTCCGACCTGTGTGATGCGACACACACAAAATCTTTTTCGCTCTTACGTTCATGGGCATAAAGCTTTTTCTGACCGGCTTAACGCAATTCTGGATAAGTGTAGTGACTCCTTATGTCTGGTGGAACTTTTCACCTAATTAGTGGATGCGGAATCGGCTCTAAGCTAAGGTAATAAGTATGACGCCACTCGACACGCCAATACCATGCTAGTTTGTTAGGACCTGTAAGTTAAAAACAAATTCACATTTCTCTATATTGCAGTTATTTATTCATGCAAACCTGGTATCTATCAAAATCAAGCCTGTCTTTATAATATACCTTCATTATTCATCGCAATTTTGTAATCTCATAGAATAATTTTATTATTAAATATGCAAAGGCCAAATTGATTAATCACTCAACTTACCTATTATCAAATAACGAATAGGTAATAACAGCTAAACTTGACTTGCGACATTCGTTTCGTTCGATGCGTTTCGTAATTCAAACTTGTATTATATTAACGTGCCGTCTTTTAAAACTTACGTTAGAAAAAAGTCTATTATTCGGGCATTAGCCCGTCAATTGCCTTCGATTGCTGTCACGTAACAAAAAGCACGGATTTAGAAAAAAACTTTCGATAAAAAAAATGTTGTAAGTGGAGAGTGTATTTTGCGGCAAAACGAACGTCCCAGTGCACGCTGAGAATGTTAAACGAACCACCCTTGTTGCGTACAAGAAACGTACATTTTGTAGGGTAACCATGACATAAGGATAAATGGGATTAATTGAACAATTAAGTTCATTAATATATGGCATTTTAAAGTTCGTATAGGCATAAATACATACTCCAGTAAATTAATCATTTTTATTTTGCTTCTAAGCTGAGTGTAGAACAGTAAACAATTAATAAAGAAATGTATAATTAAAGTTCTTAGGTTTTCGGTATTTTTACACATAGGAAATGAAACTATTTTTCCGGATTCCCGGAAATCGTTCAAGTCAACCGTGACCATGGGACCTGTAAAGGGCCCGATATGTTGTTTTGTTTGAAAAAAATCGCGTTTAAATCCGGAAAAATAGTTTCATTTCCTGTATATAATTAAAACTTTGTTGGTAATACAGTACCAGAAAAATTATCTTATTGAAATAATTCGTGTGATTTACGTTATTTTAATTGCTTCAAACGGTCAAAACACACGCCGCACAACATATAACTAAAACAAATAAATATTATGTCCCAAGGAACAAATGCGAATGCTAAATACAGTCGGTTAACGTCACGTCAAATCTCATCAATTATATTGAGAACGAATTCGACACCGACGCAGGCGCAACACGATACTTTACACAATCACAATATTTCGCGGAAGGAAACTTTTTTGTGTGACTATTATTGCTAAATTCTATTATGCGGTCCATTGTTATTTATTGCTTATAGATTAATTGGCGAAGATATATTTACGATTTGTTTAAGAATAATTTAGACGACCTTCGTGGTATGTGTTTTCATAGTGTCGCTATCTCTAAGGACCCGGGTTCGATTCCCGGCCGGGTCAATGTAGAAAACCTAACTTTTCTATATTGTCTCGCGTCTGGGTGTTTGTTGTATAGTCGTTGTGACTGATTCACTTGTGTTATGAAAAGAATCAGTTACGTACCTACTTACTTGGGGATCAGAGCAACGTAGGTGAGATTACAATATTTATTTATTTAGAATAAGTGCGCATTTGACATCCATCTGACGTGATGGAAAGTGATGATAAGATCGATGATGGACCATGCACACCTAAATAATGCCTATTCACTCTCATCTTGAAAAGGCTTAAGTTATTGCGTCCAGAAAAGAATTCAACAACAATTTTACAACCATACAAACTTAATATATACCTAAATGTTGTTCAGTGTTTACGTTATGTGATGCAAGTTAAAGGAAGTAATCCCACCTGCTATAATTAGTGGCAGATTCATAAAATTATTAATAGTTTTTCCGCCCGCCACTTACATACAACTCAAGCATCGCCTTCGCTCGGAAACTGCCGGGGAAACACAAATACGACGCTCCCCGCACCCTGCCTTCTCACCCCAACCCGCACCCCTGCAGTTATGAAAATTTCATCCCCAAACACGCAAACTAAACTAAGCCCTAACATAACCACACAGAGCTTATTGCCACTTAATTTCATGTTTGAGGGAAATCCATTCTTCATATACCCTGAAATGAAATTTATCACTCACTGTTAAAGTTTGTTTTGGCTCGTTTCTAGTTAAATCATGAGTGATGGTTTGAATTTTCGGTATAATGGCGTGCCGGGGATTAGGTTTCCCCGATCCGGGGACGGACTGAGACGTTACAATAAATGGATTATTATGCAATCAAACGTCTCGTACTTTCGTACCCTTACAATTTACTTGCGCATTAAGAAGAATATATTTCCCCACAAATCCTCTTGAAACTCCACGGATTTTCAAATTGAGGAATTAAAAACACAAATTATAGAGAAATATACCCATCAAGGACAACTCCGTTGTTTACGTTTGTGATAGAATGAGGAAAATGTGGAAATTCTCCACAAAAAATATATTACGTAGTGACCTATTAATCCCAATTATTACCTATGTATTTGTATTTTATAGACATGTGTTATTCACGTGAATAACATCCATTGAATAATTGACTTATAAAGGTAAAATTACATGTTCAATACAAATTGAAACGTTGAGCGAATACTTATTATTCCAACAAGTTGCTTATTCAAATTGTCTAACAGGCAATCAATACTGGCAGACAAAGCACACACAAATTGGTTTTCAGCGTAGTCATCTCATTAATTATATCTACGAAAACACGTTGTGGCGCCATCTGGCGCCGCGAGGTGGCAACGCCTGTCGTCATGGCAACCGCGCGCTGATTGGCCACTTCGACACGCTTCTTACGGGGCAGAACGCTGTAACCGCCGCTAACAGCCACTCAAATCTCTATCTTACGTTTTCAGTTCCAAGTCTCTTTTTTAATTAGCCGTATAAATGCATTTGTTACGTTTGGATTTAGAGCGGTTGCATTATTAGCCCCGCCCTTCTTAGTGGCATGGCGGACGGTTTTGTCTTGGCCCGATTCGTCTTTTTACGTCTCTGTTTTATTTGCTCTACGTGTGTTTGCTGTACATACATGTAGTGTCGCATTAAGAAGTTGTAATCTGTTTTAAAACTCTTTTATATTTCCGAGCTCTGCTTTTGTGTGTGGCTTACTGTCGTTTGTTGGGACGACAATGTTAATAAACTTATGTAATTTAATAAAAATGGAATACGAGTATCTACTTGTTGTACATTATCTACATAGCAATTAATAAGTTTTTCTTTAGCATTGAAAAGTTAAAAAAAACTTGTAGAGACACACAATAGACTTAATTTGTTGCCTTATCAATATGACAACTAATCTTCTTAAATATTGTGTAGATTAGGTGTCTATTTTTGTCCTAAGTAAGTATTCAATCTATGCATTACAGGGCTTTATAGGTATATATCTGCGGGTTCATCCATAGCAAATCCGTTTCCGACGGCTCACTGAATTGGCGAAAATGCACTTTCAGTTCATTTATTGCATAATGCATAATTATATTAACTTTCGACCTATTGTTATGCATGGGTAGGTAGGTACCTATTATTATAAAAATTACATAAAGGTTCTCAATGGACATTAAGTTTCCTTTTTAGTTTTGCTTCAATGCAGTCTTTTTTAGTCTTATTTA